ACTCACACGGGGTTACTGGGCAAGAAAGAGACTCCGGGAAGTCCCCTGATTTTCTGAAGGACAGAACCCTAGGAAGGTTGGCTCTTCTAGCTCACTAGGGCTGATCAGTAAATATTTTAAAATTTTATGAGCTTCTTATTAAATGGCCAATAAAAATAAACTACATAAACCCACAATATATATTGTGGGTTTGAATATATTAAAAACAAAGGTGATAAATACACAAAGTGGATCACTTTCCAATTATTTACCACATGTTATTATCCATACCCTTGAAGGTATTTATAAATCGGCATGGTAGGAATATCACATGATGGCATTTAGTGTATGAGGTCATGTACCAATACCATTTGGATCAACCACAGAACACATGTGATAGTGGTCCCATGAGATTTTAAAGGGGCTGCTCATTGCTGCCTCCTAGTGGTATTGTAGCCATAATAACATCTGGTGCAGTGCGTTTCTCATGTTTGTGGTGATGCTGGTGAAAACAACCCCTTTTAGGTATATTTAGATACAAAGATATCATTGTGTGTGTTGTCTACAGTATTCAGTACAGTAACGCTGTACAGGTTTAAGCCTCGCTGGCTGTAGGCTGCATCCCCTAGGTTTGTGTAAATACATTCTATGATATTTGTGTTAGGAAACTGTGTAGGGACACATTTCTCAGGATGAGTCCCATGTATGACTACAGCAGTAAATAACATATATAAAAAAAAAAAAAAATGAAAGGCTACCTAGCATCTCTTCCCAACTCTATTTTCAGTGACATTACATTGGTAGCTCTTGGCAAACACTACAAATCAGGGGTGCTCTCCCTGCTGAGTTGGTTTTGAAATATTTATTTAAAAACCCACTACTGGGGCTGGGGTTGTAGCTCAGTGGTAGAGCTCYTGCCTCACACATGTGAGGCACTGGATTCRATCCTCAGCACCACATGGAAAATGAAATAAAGGTATCGTGTTCATCTACAACTAAACATATTTTTTTAAAAAACTCACTGCTAGTTGAGAACAATCTGAAGCTGAAAAGGTGACTGTGGGGTCTTGGCAAGGACTTTCCAGCTTCCTTCTGCATAAGGGGGTAGAGCTGATTGATTTCTCACTGAGCCAAGTCACCTGGTCGAATCCTTTCATGTGTCCAACCTACTTGTCAGGTGCTGAGGTGCTGGATAAAGAACGTGAGAAAGCTCAGTCTCGAACTCCAGAGAGAGAGGGGCGCTGCGTCCCTGGGGGATACCACACCCATTTCAAGCCCAGGCAGATGCTCAGATGCATCTGGGGTTCAGCACTAAGTGATAGAAGTTGGGACTAAAAGGGGACACTCGTGGTGGGTTGGGAGTCATGAGACAGCTTGGAGGAAGGCATTCACTCTGAGCCTCTAGGGGGTTCAAGGATACAGTGATGTAGATAAATGAGGAAAAGGCCTTTCGTCCAGGGGAGGGGCAGTTTGGGCAACAAAATTCATCAGATCATTTTCTTTCTTTTTTTTTTAAAAGAGAGTGAGAGAGGGGAGAGAGAGAGAATTTTTAATATTTATTTTTTAGTTCTCGGCGGACACAACATCTTTGTTGGTATGTCGTGCTGAGGATTGAACCCTTGCCGCACGCATGCCAGGCGAGCGCACTACCACTTGAGCCACATCCCCAGCCCCATCAGATCATTTTCTAAGAGGACACTACTTTTCAGAAAGTCGCTCTCCCCAGCTAGAGAACTTTTCCATGACCCCTAGGGACAGGGGAACGCATAGCTGACTTCTCATCGTGCATCTTTGAAATCATGGGTTCTGGTGACAGGCTGCTGCTAAGTAGGCTTGTACATATGCACATCCCTCCACAATGGCCCTCTGTTTCCTCATCTTAAAAATGAAGGGGTAGTTTCTCATTTCCATGTTATTCAATGTTGATTCAATAGTTGGAGACTATTCCAGTCAAACTTACCCACTGCTTCTACAGAGAACACAAGCCTTCTGCAACATATTTCTCTCTTCATCACCTAGTCTACAAAATGCCTTTCAAATTCTGATCTGAAATACTGAACTCCAGCTAATCCTGCTCCCCCTTGCTTTGAGCTGAGGGTGCTTGGCTCTAGCCCAACAGCCAGCTGGGGCAGAGGAACTTAGGAGAGGGAAGTGGGAGACCTCCAGCTTAATCTTTCCCTTTAGCTTACAGTGGTGTCAGCATCTCCCAGGCTTCTTGTGATAGGGTGGGGGTCAGTCACAGCTGCCCACACTCTCCTCTGGGGTCTCTCTCTCTCCCTGTCTCATTCTCTTCTTTTTTTTTTTTTTTTTTTAAAGAGAGTGAGAGAGGAGAGAGAGAGAGAGAGAGAGAGAGAGAGAGAGAGAGAGAGAGAGAGAGAGAGAATTTATTTATTCATTTTAGTTCTCGGCGGACACAACATCTTTTGTTGGTATGTGGTGCTGAGGATCGAACCCGGGCCGCACGCATGCCAGGCGAGCGCGCTACTGCTTGAGCCACATCCCCAGCCCCTCATTCTCTTCTTACATGAGGTGTGCAGTATTGATGATCAAACCCAGGGCCTTGTGCATGCTAGACAAGTATTGTCCTACTGAGCTGTATCCCCAGCCCTTTTTTGTTTTTGTCTCTGTAAGTAGCCAAGGCTGGCCTTAAACTTGCAATCCTTCTGCCTCAGCCCCCTGAGTGGCTGGGATTACAGGTGTGCACCACCATAGCAGGTTTTCTTTAGGCTCTTTGGTAAGGTTCTGGGGTCACTGGCTGGTGAAGGCCAAGACTGAGTTGGGGGGAATAGGATGGAACGATCCACAAGCAATGGATTACTAAAGGTCTTTTGAAGGAAAACAGTGCTGCTGTAATTGAAATCCTGTGCTTCTCCTTTGTCAGGGCTCTCTTGACTTCTTCTCTCTAAAACTCAGCCAGGCAGATTCTCAGCCTTGTGCCCCACTAGCCCTTCCAGAGCTTTCTGTCTAGTCAGAGGGGGCAGACTGGGTCATTGATGACTCCATTCTGGTCTGGCTGGCGCCAGGGAGCTGAGTATGGGACTTCTCTCTAGACTAAAGGGCAAGGGTCATTTTCTCCTAGGGCATCTTAGGACATCCTTCATTTGCAGACTGGCCAGTGGCCAAGGTTTAAAGATGCTGCTTTTGGAGTCTGGGCTCCATCTTCTAGCGAGGAAGCATTGTAGACTTCCTGGGGTTGTTTTTGGTTTTGGGTTTTATTTTGTTTTTGTAGTACTGGGGATTGAACCTAGGGTACTCTCTCACTGATCTACACTCCCAGACCTTTAAAACAATTTAAAAAAAAAAAATTTTTATTTGAGACAGGGTCATGCTAAATTGCCCAGGCTGGCCTGGAACTTGTGATCCTCCTGTCTCAGTCTCCCAAGTTGCAGGGATTATAGATGTGCACCACTACACCTGGCCTTCCTGGGTTTTTGAGTGTGGAGAAGAAGTTAAATTCAGGCACTGCTACAGAGGCAGCTGTAGAAAACCTTTCCTGGTAGTGTTTACCCCAGGGAAGGAGGAGGGAAAGGGACATGCTGGTCTTTGGGGACTAAGACGGTATGGCTAATCGTGGGCCCAGTCTGTGGGTTACAAAGCCAAATTTAGGAGGCACATTGGATCGAAGTAAATGATCTGTTGCTCTGCCTTCAAAATATATCCTCAACCCTCCCACTCCTCACCATTCCCCCGCTGGGCCAAAGTTCCAAGCTGTCATGTTGCTTTCCCAAATCAGCACAGCAGCTCCTTCCTCATGTTCTCCAGCTCCCATCTCATCCCTTGAGATCATTCTCCACTCAGCAACTAGGGTGAGCATTTTAAAAATGCAAATCAAGCCGGGCATGAGGCATTCCTATAATTCTAGTGGCTGGGGAGCCTGAGGAAGGACGATTTCAAGGTCAAAGCCAGCCTCAGCAACTTAGTGAGGCCTAAGCAACTCCATGAGATGCTGTCTCTAAATTAAATGTATTTTTTTAAAAATGGGAGCTGAGAGCTGGGGTCGAGGCTCAGTGCTAGAGCATTTGCTTAACACATGTGGGTCACTGAGTTCGATCCTCAGCACCACATAAAAATAAACAAATAAAGGTATTGTGTTCATCTACAACTACAAAAAAAATTAAAAGAAAAAAATGGGAGTTGAGGATGTGGCTCAGTGGTTAAGAGCCCCTGGGTTCAATTCCCAGTACAAAAAAAAAAAAAAAAGCAAATCAGACTGTTCCATTTAAATGTTTAAAATCCACCAGTGACTTCCTATCATATTGGAATAAAAACCTAAATTTTTACAGGCTCGGTAATGCACACCTATAATCCCAGTTACTCAGGAGGCTGAGGCAGGAGGATCACAAGTTTGAGTTCAGTCCGGACAATTTAGCAAGGCTCTGTTTCAAAATAAAATGATTTGGGTTTGTAGCTCAGTAGTAAAGAGGTTACCCCAGTAGCAGAAAACAGCCTCCCTCCTTACAAAGGCCCCATGGGAGCTGGCCCTGCCTCCCCCTGATCTTACTGGGGACCACTCTCCCACTCACTTGCTTCACAGTAGCCCTCCTGCCCTTTCCTACCTTGAGACCTTGTCACCTGCTTTTCCCTCAGCATGGATCCCTTTGCCTGACATTTCTTACCTCCCCAGTCCCCTCTTTTAAAGTGGCCATTCCCTCCTTTTGCCTTTTTCATATTGTCTTATAAATGACTTCAAAGCTTTTATGAGTTTCTAATCTTCTTATGTATCTGCTAACCTTCACTAGCATGTGAGGTTCATGAGACCAGGCAGCCTGAGTGTCCCAGGACAGTGAACGGCACATAGTAGATGCTGGATAAAAATATTTGTTGACAGAACGAGCAAATGTACAAATGAGTGAGCTGTTTCCTTCTGAAGAAAAACTCCAGTTTATGTATAACACCTGCCATTGCTGCAGGGCAGAAAGGAAAGTAGAGTGGGCTGAGAGCAGGGAGAAATGGTGGGAGTAGCACCTCTAATTCTCTTGTGGGGTCACACAGGGTGGGGTCAGGGGAGTAAGGTTCGCCCTCTAGGTGCTAACCTCACCCTGGGCCTCCTTCCAAGCCTGGCGCACCTTGATCTTCACTTTAAAAGGATCTATCAGGAAGATCACCTTGGGGTCGCCCACCAGGGAAGGTAGCTGCCCATTATCTGGCACCTCCAAGTCGAACCTCTGCAGCATCCAGGCTATGAGGAGGAAGAGCTCCTGGCGGGCCAGGATCTCTCCTACACAGGAGCGGGGACCAGCTCCAAAGGGCAGGTAGCTGAGAGACGGTGAGATGAGCTGGCTCCCAGTTGGATCCAAGAAGCGCTCTGTGGGCAAGGGGGAGGCATTAGCCAGGGATGAGGCCGTGGAGAATCATGCTTCCACCCTGGCTGAGGCAGAGATGTGGCCCTGTCTGAGGACCTCCAGACTGAAGAGAGACAAAGCTCTGCTCTCAGGTAGGCCTTAACGTGACACAGAGGAAATGAAATGATCAAGAACAATGGGGAGGGGAGGGGACAGTGTTAACAGATGAAAATGCCACCATCTAAGCTTAATAGGAGTCGGATGCTTAGAGGACTTTGCAGAGCCGTGCAGTTGGTTGGAAGGAGAGCAAGGGAAACCCAGCCATAGTCTGGCAGTCTACAACAATGTGGGCATGGCAACAGGTCCATGGAGATGGGGCCAAGAGTTTTCTAGAAGCAAGCTTGGCAGATGGGAAGAGAGGCTTGGGGGAGGGGGGACCTGCAGAGCAGAGTCCAGGCTGGCTGTGTGATCTAGGGAGCATGACAGGATGGGACAGGGACTTACCTGGCATGAACTGGTCTGGCTGGTTCCACTCCTCCTCATTGTGATGAAGTGCCCACAAGTTGACGATCACCTGTGTGCCCTTGTCGATGGTATACTCACCAATGCTGTTCCAGAGAGGGAGAGGAAAAGGGGTCTGTGACATTGCCCTTCCCTCCCCACTCAGCCCCAAGTCTCCACATTCGACCACCTTGGGGGAAAAGAATCCTTTACTCCCTCATTTCCCAATCATCTGTCTTTTCCTTAGTTTGTAACAGATCAAATCTGAATYGAGCTCTATCCTCTAGACAAGCACTATGTACTGACACTGTACACAGGGACATCCATGGCTGTCAGGGGATGTGGTATGCATATATCTAAGGCAACTGTTGGGCTGGGCAGGAGCGTAGAACTCCAACAGCTTCATCCCAGCCCACATGCCTCCAAGGGCAACAAGCAGCTAGCTTCCTGGGAAATTAGGTGGGTCTGTGAATTGGTCAGTGGGTGTCAGTGGGTGGTAGATACACTGATCAGAAGGGCCAGGGGTAGGATCATTGTTAGGAGTCAGCGTTCAACACACAGGCTGAGGACAGGGCTGGGGTATGGATGAGGAACCAGGTGGGCTGGCAAGCAGAGTTGGCCTAGATGTCTTTGGGAGGAAAGGCATACCTGGAATCAGTATTAGCCTTGTGGGGTATGAGCATTGGGGCCACAGGTCTGATGCGAAGCACCTCTCGGATGGTGGCCTCTAGCATGAGGAGGTGGTTCCTGTCACTGAAAGTTGGCGTACGGCTGAAACCTACATTCTGGTCAATCTCCTCATGGATCTTCTTCTTCACCTAAGAGCCAGAGGGAGATGCACATACCAGTGTGCTTCAAGCCCAAGAGAAGCATGGGCTTGGCAGAATCCAATGGTCACATCCTGTACAGACCCTTTCCAGCACAGCCCAGGCCCTGCTTCCAGAAGATGGAACAGCTTTAATCTGGGGCCAGGGCCAGCACCTACTTGGGTGAGGGACAGGGCAGCCCCAGAGTATTGCCTCTCCTTTTCTCTGGGATGCAGAGGTCATGCTGGCTGGTTCCCAGGCAAATGGAAAGACAGTCGTGGGGACAAACTCACCTGAGGATTGTGCAGCAGGAAGGCTACAGTCCATTGCACCATAGAGACTGTGGTATCCACACCAGCTCCAAAGATGTCCGCTATGGTGGCAACAATGTGATTATCTGAAAGCATATTTGAATCCAGGTCTGGGCCACTATTGTTATTCTCTGCATTCATCTTGGCTTGCATGAAAATGTCCAGCATGTTGGTGATACAATCACTGTTGAATTTCTCCTGGGTTGGGGAAAGTTGAGACTGATAAGGAAAGAGCTCCACCTGCAGCACTCCTGCCATACTTCTGTTACACTAGTCAGGGCCTCTTACACTTGGAAGTGGAGTAAGGCTAGCAGGACCTATGTTTACGTAGGTAGGAGATAGCACTGTGCCTTCTTTAAATTTGAGGGGTAGACAGATGCCATCTAAGCTCCTCCTTTATTTCTTACTTTACCACTTCCATTCATTAATTGGGTCAATTTGTATTGTGCATCTACTATGTGCCAGCCTCTGCTAAGCTCTGCAGATATTACAATGTCCAAAATGTACCCCAGTCCTGTTCCCAGGGCATTTTCAAATATACGCATATTTTTCTCTTTCTTTCTTCTTTTTTCTTTCTGGTATTGGGAATTGAACCCAAGAGTGCTTTACTACTGAGCCATATCCCCAGCCCCTTTTATCTTTTATTTTGAAATGGATCTCACTAAGTTGCTTAGGGTCTTGTTAAGTTGCTGAGGCTGGGCTTCAACTTGCGATCCTCAGTCTCCTGAGTCTCTGGGATTACAGATTTGCACCACTATGCCTGGCCACTTCACTCATACTTTCATCTTCTCAATCACCTACCTTGTGCTTTTTCAATATCTGATTCAGTATTGCATCTCGCACACCAACACACCTCTTTAACATTTCCAGGGTCTTATTGGGGAAAATCTGGGAAGTAGAAAGAAATGTCAAATCCACTCCTCTTCCACTTTGCTATTCCAGCTATGAGAATCCATCCTACAGATCCTAGCTTTCTGTCTCAGGAGAATTTCTACTCTAACCTTACCTTCAGCCTTAATGAAGGACAAGATGGGGACACAGAATGGGCTCCTCAGGGACAACTCCAAGAAGAGAGGAGGGTACAGATTCCTCTTCCCAGTTAACCAAACATCAAACCCTGATTACTATGTGTGGAGCTCTTTGGACTAAGATAAATTTGAGTCTGAAGACAAGGGCAAGTTCCTTAACCTGGTTAAGCCTGTTTTCTCTTCTGTACAATGAAGATAATAAAACATACCTCCAAGGGGAATTCAATGATTAATGTTTATAGAGTGCTTAATACTGGCACACGACAATTGGAAAATAAATGAGAGCCACTATCATGAGTTTTATTAAGATTCATGATTCAAAAGGCAGATCCATTTGTATAGAGAAGTGGCCAAGGTTGTATGAGGCAGAGGTCACTGGCTGAGGAGGTCAGGAAAAAGATAGGTCTGGAGACAAAGAAGAATCAGGGACACTGTCTGTGTTTGCTGGGATCTGAAGGTGTCATTTGGCTTCATTCTCACCTTCAACCAGGGGTATATGTCCACCAGAGTTTCATTTCCCAGACTCTCCAAGATACTGCTACTGATGTTCCTTATGGTTCTCAACTCTGGATCCTCAGTTTTGTAGGAGATGTTGAAGCAGATGATGCAGATTACGTTAAGTATAGCCATGAAGACAGGAAAGGACAAATCTATGACTTGTCCATGGTGGGTGGCCAGATGATCACACAATACACTGGCTTCCCGACATACTGAGGGRAGAGAGGAGTGTGAGGGTGGGGACTGCATTTGCACCCTGGCCACCCTCTAGCAGTTCCTTTTTAGCCAGGGTGGGGCAGAGATAGCAATTAGCCACTAGATGGTAGCAATCGCCAAGAAAAGACTGAAATAAACCATCCCTAACCCTTTCCTCCTCCCCAGCCCTCTTTTCACTCCCAGCTCCTGTGTGATCAGCTCCAGCCCCCCCCCCCCCATCCCAGCACTCACTGATGTTCTCCAGCTTCTGGTCGCCCTCCCTGAACAGGGCAAAAGTGCCTAGCACCAGCTTCCGGTGCAGCTGCCATTGAGTGTTGGAGTCAGCAAAGGCAATGCCCTTCCACTGGTCTGACAGGAGGCCTAGAGTTACCTTTGGAGAGCAGACAAGGCTGTAGGACTCACACACCATCCACCCACCCCTTGCCCCAGCCCTACTCCCTCAGCCCCTCTCCATTTCTGGGGGAGAAAGCAGGTACCTGGTGGTGCTGACTCCCATGTGGGGATATCCCTGTTCTATTCCACCATGACTGTTAGGTCTTGATAGGACAGACTAAGGCCCTCTATTTATGGGAGTAATTAGCACCAGGGTACTGAGATGGGACACTGGGAGTACTTCTGGGATAGCTATCCAACAGCAAGCTCAATGGGTCAACGCAGTCCTGAAATGCTACTGTAGGTCAGTTGTCCACCCCCATGAACTGGAGCCATGGGGATAGTTCCAGAGAAATAGCAATCTCACTGGTCCAGGAGTCAGGGTGCTTCTCCCCGGTAACTTCCCAAGTGGGAAGGAATCACTGCCCCCGTTTTCCACAAAGAATAGCATCAACACTGGCTATTTATTGAGCACTTCGTGCTGGGGCCAGACGAGGTGCCTTATATAACCTTAAATTAGGACCAGAGAGATTATCATCTAGTTCAGGGGTGAAATGAGCGGGGTGACAGATCCACAACCCCTCAGGACCACACACCCGCCCCACTCCACTCCTGGGCAGCCCACTCTAGAGGACCTCCTTTAATTCTTCCTTCCTAATTTAGAGGCTAGGTGAGTTTGAGAAGTTCCTCCCCTCTTATCCACCCCCGACTAGTCTGATTTTGAAAGAATATTAAGAACTGCACAACCCCAGGGGGTGGGAAGGGAAGAAGAATGGACACTGCTTACCACAGGGGGCCGCCCGGAGAATTCCTTGCCCTTCTTGACAAGCACCTCCTTGGCTAGCTGGTGGTTGCCAATAATCACTGTAGTCTTGGTGCCCACACGAAGGGAATAGATGGGTCCATATTTTTTCTGCAGCTTGAAAAAGTTGACGTGCTTGTGGCCATGTCTGGGGAGGAATGGCAGGCTGCCCACCAGGGGCAGGTATGGGAGGCTCTTGGGATACTTGGCCCCAGGAACCCTTACCTTGGGCCAAAAGACATAGACTAGGGTGAGCAGCAGAAGAGCCACAAGCTCCCACATGGTGGCGAGGTGCTGGCGGCAGGAAGGATAGCTGGGGCAGGAGAAGCTGTAGCAACTTTAGGGTGCCAGGAGGCCTTTTTAAGGGCTTCTCTGATCTTTACCTTGAAATTCTGTTATCTCTTGGCTTGTGAAAGTCAATCCTGGAGCTGAGCCAGGCCTGACCTCTCTCCAAGAACCAGGATATGAGGGGTAGGGGAGGCCTCTTCAAGGGCTGGCTCAACTGGAGGGCAAACCAGTGGAGGAGGAGCTGGATAAGGCAGGACAGCTGGTCTCCTCCCTGGAACTCTTCAGCCACGGATAACCCCAGAGTGCACCAGAGGCAAATGGTATCTGAATTAGCAATCAAGGCTTAGGACTTTCCATGTTGTAAAATCAAAATCAGAATCATCAGAGAGATAACAATGTCAGCAGAATTACAACTCACTGGGCCTGTCGGAGACACTTCATCCAGTCTATCATTTAATACTAGAGAAAAGTGAGGTCAGATTAAAGACACGTAAAGTGGTGGCAAAGTCCCACATGTCCTAATTCCTTGGTAACTGCTCTTTCCAGAGGTGTTGATGCACAGGCATTGAGAGCACCACTCCAAGAGCCAGACAAGTTTGGGTTCAAGTTCTAGCTTGGTCACTTTTTAGCTATATGATCTTGGGTGAGTTACTTAACTTCTTTTGAAAAAAATGCTTTTATTATGTGTGTATTTTTAAAAATTTACTAATTTTCTGGGGTTTTTTGTTTGTTTGTTTGATGGTTTTTGTTTTTTCATGCTGGGGATTGAACCCAGGGCTTCATGCATATTAGTCAAGTGCTCTATCCCTGAGCAACATCTCCAACCTTCTATTATATTTTATTATTTATTTTTTATTTTTTGGTATTGGGGATYGAACTCACTCAACCACTGAGCCACATCCCCAGCCCTATTTTGTATTTTATTTAGAGACAGGGTCTCACTGAGTTGCTTAGTGCCTCACAGTTGCTGAGGCTGGCTTTTTCTTTTCCTTTTTTTTTTTTTAAATTTTATTTTTTTAGTTGTAGTTAGACRCAATACTTTTATTTTATTTATTTGTTTTTATGTGATGCTGAGGATGGAACCCAGTGCCTCCCACATGCTAGGTGAGTGCTCTACTGCTGAGCCACAACCCCAGCCTCTGAGGCTGGCTTTGAACTTGTGATTCTCCTGCCCCTACCTCCTAAGCTTCTAGTATTACAGGCATATGTCACCCCACCCAGCTACTATATTATTTTTAATGATTGAATTCTATAGTGTATATACCAAGTATATGCCTACCTAATTTCCTGTATTGTACTGAACATTTAGGTTGTTTCTAATTTTGTCTTTGTTGTTGACATAAACAACATTAAGGAAGCAACTTGGAGTGAAATCTTTGTGCATAACCATTAATATTTTCTTTTTTTTTTTTTTTTTTTAGAGAGAGTGAGAGAAGGGGGGG